TCAGATGTCTACTCTGTAATGCAGAGCAGAATTTGTCTGAATTTCTTTAGGAAGAAACTTCTAAGTAAGTATACATATCTGAAGATCTGTGAAAAAAAAAAAAAAAAAAAAGAAAAAAAAAAGAAAAAAAAAGAAAAGAGATCCAGACTTCAGTTATGGAAAAGGCAGAAGGCAACTAGACTCACTTCAGGGTAAAGAATTTAACTCATGTAAGCAAATATTTATTCCATACTTAGAGACACTGAATAAACAGCTACTGTACCTTTGAAATAAATGCAGCATGGTTCTTACAATCCTGCTTTGTACTGAAGGAACAAATTTTTGATAGGTTATCCAACAGTACTAAGCAAATAAAGTATATTCTTTTAGTATTCTGTGTATCTTCAGTAATTGACAAGGCCAATTTTATTTTATTAGGAGTGACTTCCTTTCTTTTTTCCTATATCTTACTTTCATTCTTTATCCTCCATATCCTCTCCTGTCTTTCCCTTCACAGTTATAAAGCTACAGAAGTTGACAAAGAAAATTGCCTTGTAGCATAATTATTTTGTAGTAGGACACACTCCAGAGATCAGTGACACAGAAGAACTGAACATGAACAATATCTTAATCTTTTTCCTACTGCTATCATTATGGGCAGAATGCCTCTTTACAAGAATGCCATCTTTCTCAGTTACAACTGAGACAGACAAATTAAGGAATATACAAGATGTCCAAAGACCCAATTACTTTTATTCTTGAAAATAGAGATCCACTGGACGTTTTTACATGATTTAGTTTGACTTATAGAAGTATCATTAATTTTAGTCAGATGAGAAACAACATTGGTTTGAAATGTGTATGCTGAAATTTAGAATGATTGAATAATATATATATAAAATAAAGATTTGCCTTAGAAAGCTAAAGAGAAGCATAATTCAATCAGTCAGATTATAAGAATAAAAGAAGATATTAATGGAAAATAGAACTACAGCTTTTTGAAGATGTCAAAGAAAAGACAACAGAAGACAGTTCATTAATGAAACTATAGGCCATAAATTAATTCTATTCTGGTGAAAGTCTCTCATGATGAGAATATCTAGTTGTTGTTTTTTATGTATGTTTATGTTGTTTTTTATGCCAATGGAAAATGCCCTTGCTAAATCATATAATTATCACAGAGCTGTGAAATAGGCAAATACAAAGAGTATGTATATTCCTCATAGTTAGGTAAATAAAAATACAAAGATAAACTGCTTATTCATTGTTGGTTTGGTAGTCCAGTCTTTATTTAGTGTGAATCAAGCTTCTTGATCAAATAGAGGACCAAAACCAACACTCCAGTCATACCCTAAACTAAGATAACAGTGATTTAGCACTATACTGGTACAATTGTTTATAGGATAACTGATTTGGTTTTCATAGCACTATCAGAAAAAGGGATAACTCATCAAAATTGCATGTCATTTAGTCAGCACTTTGCAATGACAGCAATTGGTATCTAACTGTCATAGGATGCAGTCATGACAGTATTTTCTGAGGTTCCTTTTAGCATATATTCTCTAGATTTATCACCAGTGCATAGAAAAGGAACAATATAATTTTCTTTCATCTGTGTGACTGTGGGGAATCATAGCAGAGTATTATGGGAGCTGAAGTCAATGACTTTTCATCTATGTACCATTTTTTTACTTCATTGTTGTTGTATTCACAAAACAAAAAAACATAGGTAGAGAGCATCCACAGGTAATTGCAAGAAAATAACATTAGCAGGAGATAATATATGCTAATTTTACTAAAAAGACTAAATAATTCCTAAATAATTACTTATAAATAATACATTTATAATACTGAGATTCTCAGACAAAACTTTATAAGAATAATACTTCTCTTACAAAGTTTTGTCTGAGAATCTCAGTCCCAGATATCAAGTGAAAAATATCCTGTTGCTTTCAGTCAAGATGTGATTTCAGTTTTTGATTATATTTTTATTCATCTCGGGAGATGTCTTATATGTAGTACAGCTATTCTGTTCATATGTTAGCATTGTATTTTTCTATTCTTTGAGATTAATTTTATCAAATAGTACAAACTGTAAAATGCAACCTAAGAAATCTATGAGTAACAGCTAGGGAAAGGATGTAGTTCTTTTCATTAGCATGTTACATACCATATTCAGTGTTTTTATTAACTAAAAGAAATCCTGCCAGGATGTATTATAAAGTGTTAAGTTCAATGAAAATGAACATTCAAGCCCGTAAGCACTTCTATTACAAATGATGCATAAAAAATGATTTAATGATAGTTTATATGACACACATTGGTTCTTTGGTATTATTTGACAGCTGTTTTACAAATGTACTTATTGCTCAGTTTATACATAAAAATGAATTAATTTATTTATACAAAATTATTTCAACCTAAGTTTAACTCTCTGTGGCAAGCACTTACTGTACAGTTCTGAAGAACTATGATGCTCAAAACGATGAAAAAATCATTGAACTGTCTTCGCTGATGATATAGATTTCATTTCCCAAGGATTCCTATTCCTATTGCAGAAGAATAGCTATCCAAGCAGTCACTGAACTGAACTGAAGCTAAAATAAGTCCGTAGGAAATGTGAAAGATAACCACATGTGAAACTCTGTTTCTTGTGTGTTTAAGTCAGAGCTGTAGCTATAAGTCTCTGTGAAACTGTGCACGTAAGTCTTGCTTCTTTGTTCTTTGGCTCTATGAAGTAGTTGCTGAATAAAGACAGGCCAGTCTCTGTTCTCTGCTTAAATATTTTGCACTAACTAAAAAAAAAACAAATAGTCCTTAAAAAAAATGAACACATGGACTGGCAAGAAGAAGTAAAGCAGTTCTTTCATTTTAAAATTATTCCATGCATAGTCAATGGTCCTTTTAATCTTTATGCTTTAGATGAGGAGGATTTAATAGCCTCTGCAAAGTTTTCTCTTAAAATGTCAGTTCTGGGAACCTGTTTTGATATTCTGAAGAAACAAGTGCAATCTTGATGGGATTAGTTTCTACAAGGATTTTGGCACGTCTACACTACGGGCCTGATTTTGTAATCTAACTCACAGCCATTGCTAAGTAGAACTCTCAATACTTGTGATATGCTTAAATTGAAGTGTGTTCTTGAATTATACCTGTGGTTTGGTATGACCATTATTCACTGTCCTCTGAGTGGGAATGAAGCAACTGTCAAAGTTGCGTGGGAAATGCCAAAGAATTAAAGTTTTATGCATTCTTCATCTTCATTCAGATTTAATCTGAATTTGGAAGAAAGTAATGCCTCATATATAATTCCATGAAAACTACAAAAAATACAGAGAGCACAATAACACTATTTGATAGAGCAAATTCTCTGCTTCAAAACAGTATTTTTCAACATACCATGTGTACCACTAGTACACAACCACTAGTTATGCATTTTTGCCAACGATGAACAAGAGTCTGCATGCCGTGTTCATAGAAATCCGCGCCAGTGGAGGTAACCCACTGTTGCTGTCACCACTGCTGAAATACACCACCTACTGCCCACTGCCTCACTGTGCTCACATCCACTGTTTGGTCTCCTCAAACATTCAGAAAGCATCCATGAACATCAATGGACACCATTTTTTCTTTGCTTTAGATGCACTTCCATCATTTTGTCACACCTCCCAGCTGTTGCCATCTATCACGCTGCATCAAAATGTAATGGAATACTGGTGGGAAGGTTCAACCTCTACTGCCATACCACAAATATCTGCTTCTGACATCATGGGCCAATATCATAAAATAGGAGGCTTTTGGAGCATCCTTCATATAATTACAAGCATCAATTTCAATACTGGAAAATAAATCTTGTAACTTGGATTGTTACTGTGCACAATTAAAATATTGTCATTTTTTCACCCTCTTCCAGTTACTTAGACAATTATGATGTAACTAACTTTACTTAGGTGAAGGTGAAAGACGTATTTCAGCTTAAAGCATAAAGAAATTAACACACTTGTAGAGGGAGCTTGATTTTTATTTTGGAAAGTTGAGAATTTCACCTCTCACATTCTGTTTTAATATCAGCTAGATACAAAAAAAAAAAAAAAAAAAAAAAAAAAAAAAAAAAAAAAAAAAAAAACCATTACGCCAAAACAAATAAAAACAAGGATGATCGTACAGTTACATGAAAAAGTATGGGAATCACAATGAAAATATTACTTCTTCAAAGCACCTGCAGGGAAAAATACCTTTTAATTAGGTTGAAACTACTTACAGTTAAAAAATGATTCTTCTAGGCAAAATGAAGTTTCAAATGCTGTTTGACTATTTAAATCTACATTAGATACAATAAATGTAGAAAATATTTTTTCGAGCCAACGATATTTTTTTTTATTATTATTCTATGCTTATTTTGTCGAGCAATCTGTCTTTTTTCAACATGGTATGATGCAATTCATAATATAAAGACTTGAATGACAGTGTAATATGTGTGGAATATGTAATATGCAATTCTTTGAGAATATGTGTGGAATCCATAATCTGCTTAAATTCCTAGTTAGAGCTTTAATAGGTAAACTCAAAATTAATTTTTAATTTCTGTGTTTTCTTATGTTATAAATTTAAGTATGATATGCCCTTTCTGTAAATACAACTAGATTTTTTTTATTATTATTTTATTCCCGTGTAAGTGAAAAGAGAGGAATTTTATGAAACATAATCACTTTGTATGGATTGGACAATCACCAAATATTCAGTGTAAAAATCTTTGGGTTTAGACATGATAAATCAGAATTAAGTATAGTTAAAGAGATTTCAGAGTACATTTCACAGATATGGTCTGTCAAATCTCAGTCAAATACTGTCAAAGTATTCTACATCCCAAAGAGGCATCAGAATACATAAGACTCAGCTGGTTTTATGATGTACCATTGAGAGGTTAAAAATTCTGCTAGAAGGAAATCAGCTGTTTGTCATACAGTTTACCACAACAACTGCACTGACTTGCTTGTGCATATGTATTTTTTTTCCTCTAGGCTGTACTTTGGAGGTACAAATTTTCCCAGCTCAAAGGTTCTTCAGATGATGGGAAGAGCAAAATCAAATTCCTTTTCCAAAACCCAGATAATAAACAAATTGAAGCAAAGGTAAAAACAACTTTTTTTCTTTTATAATTCTACCTTAAAACATCTATTAAAGCAGCAGCTGGGAGACAAGATGAGTAAATCAAACTAAATTATTTAAAAGTCGTTCAATGTTTGAAATGAAAATAAAACCAAAGAAATCTGAATAAACTGAATTTTTGGTAAGTTAAAGTCTTTTATAGAGTGCCATTACATTAAAGAAAAAAAGAAAAAAAAGACTTGCAGCGTTTAGGAGTATTTGCCAAATCTGTTAATAAAAGAGAATGGCTGAGAATTTCAATGACCTATCTTTTTCTCTGCACTTGGTATCATGAAGAAACAGTGCAAAACATGCTTGAGTCAATTTGGGCAGAAAATACAGCAAAGATTTAACATTTGTTACTACAGCTCAATAAAAAATATTACAGATTAAACATATATCCTCTTACAAGAAGATGGCATTGAAGCTTTTTGTCTTGTCTATTTTAAAATTCTGTTTTGAGTTGTACTTTTGACTCAAGACGTTTTTTTAAAAAACAGTTACCCTGGAAGATTTATGCCTAATTTTATGAATATATTTTCAGAATTTATTGTCCCAGTATGCATAAGGAAGTGATCTTCCTGGGAACATTGAAACTGCCTGAGAGTCTGAATCAAAGGTCTTTTTCATTAGAATCCCAACATTTTTGTAATCCTGATTATGTTTGTTTGGATGTCCTTTAAAGCTGGCTTTTGAAGCCCTTACTATACTGTTTTCCCAGCTATTTATTTGATTTTAAATGATATATTCAATATAACGAAGGTATACAAAAACTCCTATTAAATCAGTAGAAATTAAGTGTGGTAGACTTTCAGTACATTCATATTTTTCTTCATTCTTATATAAGAATGTAATAAGAATATAATAAGAATATAAATATTCTTATTTCCTTCAGCAAATATTACAGTAGTACCGAATTTCTTTTCTTCACTAATAAAAGCCATAACTTAACACCCTAAAGTTGTGAGGATGATTTTCTTTTAAGCAAATAATAGGAAACTTTTATTATGCTTCTAAGTATAGCTGGAAATTGAAACTCAGCATTTCTTTTCTTACATTTATCTCGTATTGCTATTGCATGGATACAAGATTTTAGAACTGATTTAATGATGCAATATTTCTTAGAATTTTCTTTGGAATCCAAGAGTCGAATAGTGATGCTTTATTTCATCAATTTAAAAACAACGCATAGTTACAAATCTAGATGTTGAATAAGAAACATGGTTTGATCATTTTATTCTTTTTTTTTTTTAATTAAATCTGTCATGCTAATCACTTTTTAAGTCTCAGATATATTCTAGTATTTTATAGTACTGTTGTTCCCAGTTAAACTGAACTGAGCTTTATTTCTAGGAAACTTCACCTTTCCACCTTTTATCAAAGTAGAAGTTATACCTCTAAATTATGAAGGCATAATATTGTACAAACTTACTAGTATCCTAATTAATATGCTGACATGTTCTCTAGCTGCTTTTGTTGATTATAAATTTAATCTTTCAGGTTTATCAATTTAGAAATATATATGTACATAATTTTCTTGATACTCAAAGCAAGTCAGTTACATTATGATGAAAAATGTCAGATTGTATTGTGTTTGGACAGTTTTATAACGTTTATCAACTTCCTATTTGCTTAAGTACATTGTTTAGTCTAAAAACTATAAGATACACTTGTCTGAAGAAAGAATGAAAACATTTTTATGTCATATTTTTTAACTTTGGTTAGCTTAAAATTCTGTGAATAGGCCTCTGCATCCACTGAACCTTTCAAGTATTTAAAGCACTATTCAGCAAGAAAAGATGCAGAACATTTATTTTTTGGACTTTATTAGCATTACAGAACTGGAGACATACCTATTTGGGAAACTCTCTAGTCATTAAAAAATGTTAATCAGATTTTAAGAAATGCTTGTAATGCCAGGTTTCATGCATGCTGTATGCAGGCTTCATTTGGAATCAGATGATGGGAATTTTCTCAAACAGCTGTTAAAGGTTGTGATGAATATTCATAGCAAAAGCTATCACTACCTGTTAAATGAAATTCTGAGCTGCAGAGCCTGGAGACCTGCTGTTGTAAGGAGGACATACAGGGTAATGTTTTATTGAAATAAGTACAATTGTCTGCCTATTATATTATGTGGGGAATATAGAGGGATGAGAACTTACAGCTGAGACAAAAAATTCTAAGGAGTCATTACCTCAAGTTGTTAGGGCTTTTCATTTTTGCATTCTCAAACAGTAGTAAGAAACCAGTGTGGCAAGTAACTGTGGTACAGCTCAATAAGGTACTAGAAGTGACAATTGGTTTTTCTTCTTCATTATCAACATTATCATGCTCTATGCAGAAGCTGCTATGGTGTGCGCATGCTTGATTTGAGACTCCTGCTCCTCTTGTTCTGCAGTACTTTTCCTCCATCTCTGAGTTTCAACTGTGCTGCTGACAAGATACGTTTAAAGTTTCTAATGCGCTATAATTCAGTTTCACCTTGCAAATGTAAATGGTTCAGTTACAGATTGATTGATTGATTGATTTCCAGTAATACTGGTTTAATCCTAGAATTCCTTCATGTAAAAATGTGAGTTATCAAAATCCAAATACTTCCTATCTTCACTTTATGTAATGCTGCACATTTGTGTGCAGCCTGTATGTGTACAGTTATGGCTTGTTGTGTCTGTGTGATAATATTCTTTATATCTCAAATATTTACTCATGACCTAAAGGATGAAGAGTAGTAGAGTGTTGAGGTAGTTAATGTTGATTAACATTTAAAAAGAAAAATAATTATGTGGCAGTGTTTTAAATTTTAGCCTTAGTGACTTTATAGTTTCCTCTTTGTTCTGATTGAATATAAAGAACAATCGTTTCTAGTGTTATGAAATCTGAGATTTTTTTTTAAAAAGAAATGCAGAACTACATCCTTTCATCCGTCACCTTTTGTTTCTGAAAAACACACTTGCCACCAGTTTACATTCCTAAGTGAAAGTCTTTCACTGGCCCAGAAAATCTAATGTTTTTATAACACTGTCAAAATATTTTAGTGTTTTTCATGCCTGACTTAACAAAATTAAAAATGGCATGTTTTGAGATGAACAACATATGCTTTATATTTGGTTACTGTTTAATTAGAAATACTTCTTTCAGGCTCAAAAATGGTTTAACATTTAAACTTAGAGACTTTGTACTGGTGCTTTTGTTTGGCCTCTCTGAAACAACAACATGCTACTGTAAAGATGCATAGTATAGAATAAGGGAAGTGTTTCCTTGTAGACATGAACAATTGCAGTCTGAAAAACCTGAACAGTAATTACCGTAGGTCACACTGGTGGTCAGTGGCAGTGCCTGCCGATCAAACACCTGACTTTGAAGGTCTCAAAGTTAAGGTCTAAGTAGTTTCTGAGATGTAAACCATTTAGAGGCAACATTAATCACCAATACCTCTTAGACGTTCCAATCTGTAGGTTATTTCCCAGCTGTCACTCAGCAGGAGATATTGCACAGGTTTGCACAGTCAGACAGAATTTTTCTGACTGAGAGCTACAAAATAGAGCAGTTGGCATGGAAAAGAACATGGAGCCTATGTGTCCCTCTGCTTCATCCCTGTTGTGCTGCTCTGGTTGCATTGAAAAACATAAACGGCAGATCTTTCTTTTCAATTATGTAACATAGAGGGGATACATTATGCATCCTGCTATCTAATTACCTATTTCTTTAGCTATAACTTCATGATCTGTTAATGGCTTTTCAGCATTAGAGCAGCCTCCAGAGGCTAATGGAATTTCAGCACTGTAATAAACACAGAGCACTATAATCTTCTGTTGTACCTGACTGAGTAGTGGATCACTGCAATGGAAACAGTTTTATGTTTTTCTGAGAAAAATGTCTTAAACCTATGAAAGATTCTGTTTCTATACATATAGACTCCCAAACATTGCCGTATCCAGTATCTATATATCTAAAGCAGAATTGTTGCTAGGTTTTTTTTTTGTTTGTTTCTTTTTGTCATCTTTTTTTTACTACACACCATTTCTATTTGAATTTTGTAAGTAAATATAATAACCAGGAATTTCTGTAAATTGAAAGGTTGTGTGCCCCATTGCAATGGCAAGGATTTGATGCCTGATAAAGTAGCAACAGGCCTACACAGTTGGACTGAGAAAATGAATGTCCTTCCTACATTTCAGCTCTGTAACATAAAGCATGATGTATATCTCAAAAACTATTCTCTCTGTCCTTTTACCTTTCTGAACTTGCAAGGATTTTTCACAGCTTAACAGCTTTCTCAGCAAAACTCGGCCAAGGTCACGCAGCTGTGCTGTTAGCTTTTGTTCACAGACTAGCTAATGCCCTAAACTAAGTGTCATGGAACAGTGGTGAGCAGCACATGAAGATGAAGATCTGGTCAATTGGGAAAAACTGTGGTGTCAGCAAAAGAAGGTGCATAACTTTAAAGATCTGGCATTAATATGTAGTAATGAATAATGCACTGATAACAATTAATGGTAATTAATTTGAACTTGAAACTATTCCATATAGAAATCGAATATAAAATAAGACAGCCTGCATTAGAGATGTAATGTGAACAAAATGCTTGCCTTCTGGTGTGTTGTAAGATATCTTGATGAATGCTTGCACTATTTTTCAGGCTGATATTTCTGCTCATTTCAAGTATATTCTCCAAAGTATAATTTTAATTTAATCCTTGTTCTTAGCCTTGAGGGCTTTTCTGTGAGCATCACAGTGCTCTTCAAGTTTAGAATTTCAGCTTTAAATGGGTTTCAAGTATCTATCCTTAGTATTTTTACGGAGTGATTGCTCAATTGCAGTGACTGCCTTCTGAGTTCAGATTTTTGAACTGTGTGGGTTTGCATGACTCAGTTTTTAGTTTTCCCATGTCTTGCTCAAAGACTGTATTTTTCTGTATCTGTTTAAAATCACATTCTACCTTAGTATATAGACATTTGATGAAGCAACAAATATATTCACATATCAGCAGTTTATATGTAACAATACAATGTTTTTTTTCTGAATCACAAACTAACAGTTTCTTGAGTTTGCATACATAGAGTTTAGGTAGCTGTGACATTAATATAATGAAAAGTAGCTGATTTTTTTTTTTATTATTTTATCTGACAACATTATCTGTATTCGTTTTTTCCATATTTGTCTTCTTCATCTTTTGTTGGCTTACACTGTCCTATGCAGAAACAGTGAATCTTCAGATTAATAACCTGAGAATATCTGGTATAATGACAGCAATGTTGAGTGAAAGTAGTTTGGTCAAGAAGGTGGGAGGATGATTTGAAGATCAAGATCAAGAGGATACACTAATATTTCAATCTGGAAAGTGGAATAAGAGTAAATTGTGTTTTTGTGCATGGATAAGTAGTTGTGGCTCAAATTTGGATTTCTTTGCTTTTTTGTGATTCAGCGCATCTGCTTTTCCCTACAGCTTGCAGACGTAATAGCTTGACAGAATATTTCTTCAGGTTTCGTAGGATTTATTTGTTTGTTTACTTGAAGCTGTGTGTGCAATGTGCACTACTTTGCTTGATAAAAGTGTGTTCAGACAAGCGTATGACTGACAGCAGAGTATTCTAAATACGAAAACAACTAGGGACAGTTAGATGTGCAGAAAAGTCTGTGGGTTCTCTTCCGTTTTATGGCAGTCCTACAGACCTATGGCGATTTGAATGTGCAAATTCTCAACAGAAGTTGAGGGAATGTTTTGTCTGTCAGCAGTTCTCTTTGAGCCTTTATCTGTTCATTAAATTTGGTTGTGACAAGGCTAATCTGCCTGGTAACTGTTGTTCCTGATGAATCCCTTTGCATCAATATCCCTTAAATTCAGCTGCAGCTATTAATCAAACATTTATAAGTTCATCACATACCAATATCAGCCCACTGTGTTTCACACTGCTTCAAATTCCACTTTTAATGTGAACTCTGCTTGTAACAGAGTCAGCATGTGACTTTTTTTAGCCTCTGATCCACATCCGCTGCTGGGGAAATAGATGTGATCACAAGAGTGTGACTTCTGCCCTGCACAGTAACAACACAAGCCATCAGTGTCTTTAAGTAGCTTCATAGAATTTGGTTATATGCATGTATTTATGTCTTCTAAATAAGCTGCATTACTTGGATCCTCTACCTAAGTCACCTTAAATGCATGTAATTTTTTAAATTGTGTGATCAGAGAGATATCATTAATTCGCTGCATGATGTACCCATTGACACTGAAAGAATTATGTTTCATGGCAAGTAGTATCTAGCATTCGTTGACTTGTTAGTGCTCATCTTTACTATCAAATTAATTTATGTAATGTTTCATTGCTAACAGCAGTAGCAAACCATTGGGACCTTCAGCAGTTGTGCCATTTCCTCACACGTTTTCATTGAAGGTCCATTGAGCAGTGGATCTTCCCAATGTGTTACTGTTGCAGAAACACCTGTGTCAACTAGTAATAATAACTGTATTAATGCACTGTGAAAATTCAGTGTGAGCAGCCATAATTATGATGTACATAAGAACTTTCAGCAATAGGATTACCTAATTGACTCAAACAATTCTCAAACTGCAATATTTGTTTTAATAGACTTGCTCTGTGGACACATAGGTGGAAAGACAGTCTTTCCAAATATAACACAGAGCTGATATCACAAATATTTGTAAGATCCACTAAATATTTATATTTTCATCTTAAGCCTTAGTATTATTTTATAGTACCAAAGGATAGATGTTATTAATAGATTGCAAATGAAAAGTAACAATTTGAGCAACTGATGCTTCTTATTCAGACATAGTTTCCTTAATTCCTTGTTTCCTCATCTTTGACTTTCTCCTGTTTTTCCATCTATGATAAATTTTCTTATTTTGAAATTTGGATAGAAGGGGAAGAAATCTCTGGCACTGTAACAAACTACACTTTTCCTAATGTTTAAAAATGAAAGTATCTCTAAACAGAATTTTTTTAATGAATACAGATGGCAGGTATGCGAAACTTGGCTCAAACTTCATCATCTTTATTGTGAATTGCTACTTAAGGGAGTTTAAAGAAGCTTGTAAGCAATTAAAAAATCATTCTGAACATTTCCAAAGGACATCTGCTCAGGTTGTAAGAGAGTTGAGCAGAACTCCACCCGTTTCATACGTTGCTGGGATACTCTGTGTGTGTAGTCTTCTGCTTTTAGGCCAGGCAGTTGTTCCATCTCACACATAAGGGATTTCTGAATGTCTCCACAAAGCTTTTAAAGCAATATCTTCCAGAAAAACTCAAGAGGAAGGCTCATGTAATTTTTAGAATTTTTACCTTTTTTTGTTCTTGTTAAATTCACGATACTATCAATATTTCTTTATACAAAAGCAAAGCTGTCAGCACTAAATAACCTGGAAATATCAGCACTAGACAAAAACACAAATAGGATATACCACAGTTCTCTGTTCCTGGTTTCAGTGCAGAAATCTACATAGGCAGTGAATCAAAGCAAAAAGATCATAAATCTGTATCACCATCCCTACGTGCATAACATCAGTGTCTGCTTTCAAACGCAGCACGTTCTTATTGATTAAATGCTAACATCAAAAAACCGTACTGAAGAATTCCTAGAAAAAATCCATCATCATTATGATCCCATTGATAAGATAAAATCAATGAGACACAAAGGAAAACATTTATATGTGTATATATATATATATATAAATTTGGTATGTTTTGTTTTCATCTTGTTTCTAAGAAAATCTCATCTGAGGAGCTGTAAAAAAAAAAAAAAAAAAAAAAAAAAAAAAAAAAAAAAGGCAAAAAGGCAAATTAAAGTAGAACAAAAAGAGCTTTCTCTAATATTTTTAATAAGATCAAAATTCCAAGTATGTTCCTTACTTTTGGTACAAAAAAATAATTGCCTCAGTGAAAACAGAGCCAGAATATCTCTGTAGTAGCACTTTATGAAGTTTTTTGTTTTGTTTTCTTTTTTAACTAAAGATTAGAGTAGGTGAGATAGTAGTTACCACTGTATGGTGACATGACAGATAAACATGACATATGTAGAACTCAGCGTTACTGATCTTTGTGGGTACATGCAGCAGTAACCCAGAGGTATGTAGACACAATGCACTCATTCCATTGATTGATTTATTAAAAGAAATCAATCTGCAAAATGCACCAGATTTGCATATTTGTATATGGCTGTCACATTCCTTCCTCTTTAGCAGGCAGAACCTCATACTTCTGTGCAGCCACTTTACTCAGAAATTTGTTCATATTAGCTTTCAAAAAAATATTTATGGAATAAATAACGCTGTCCCTTAAGTGCCTGTAATCTAGAACTATCAGATACATCAGAAGGATTACATCAGACTATTTCCATTTAAAACTCAGTTCATTCCTAGGTGCATGTTTGTGATGTCTTCTTTTGCTTCATGATTAATCTTTCTTTTTTCACTTCCAGGAGCTGGAGTTTTCCAACCTGTTTGCAGTCCTTCATTGTATCCATTCGTTCTTTGCAGCCAAAGTGGCTTGTTTGGACCCTTTGTACGTAGGCAGTCAAGCAACAGCTTCTGCTGCTCCCACAACTTCTGGTACTGGCAAATTAAAGTATACAACTTGATATCTCACATTACAGCACTGCCATTTATCAAAAAGACTTAATGTATAGATATTCATAAGATGTGAAACTGGTGAACCTGTACATGGAAACCAATTCTGGAGACAAGACATCTTGCAGCGTCAGCAGATAGATGGTCACGTGGGATCATAAACTCATTTCTGTTCTGCAAGACACCAGTAAATAATCCTCGCAGAATCCCCAGAATAGGATGGATATGCTTTTAGTATGATCTATTTGTACTTATTTAGTGCTTTAACCAACACTGGAAGCAAAGGAATAAATAATGCAATGAGGCATTTCGGTATCTAATAAAATTTTCAAATTGCTGTAATAACACACAAAAAGAATTGTCATTTTCCTGTTTTCAAATGTTTTTATGACAATATGCTAAACTCTGAGTATGAACCTAGTACCCAATGATTATATTATAAATGACATAAGAGAAAGCGACAAGCATTTAGTACATAATGATGAGGAGATGAGCATGAAAAGACATTTGTGTAAGTATTTCTTCAAATAAGAAAGCACTTTAAGCACTGTTATAATCCATAATTATTTCCATACCTGGAGTCATGGTACTTTTTCTATTTTGTTCTTTTAGCATTAGCAACAAATATATAGCCATATTGACTGACACAGTTCAAAACAAAAACCCTACAACCCCACTTCCATGAGTAAGTTCCTCTTCTTCAATTAAAAATATTATAATATTAGTTTAAACGTAATGACAAGTGAAAGTTTGTAAAATATCATTTCTACTATTTACTTCCTCAATTTTTTGGAGAACTAAGAATCTGATTTTTCCTCACATGATACAGATGTTGTATTTGCTTCAGAAACAATCCACATAATGCATTGTTTCCATTATTAACCTTGATTTCACTCATAAGGTCTCAAGAAAATAGACATTCAATATTATTTTTGAAAAATGAGTCAAACCATTGAATTGGTAGTGATTTCTTTTTTTATATTATTAGTAAAAGGCAGGAATAAAATAAATAGCCTTTAATGATGGAAGCAATGACAGAACGCATACTGTCTTTGTATATTAAAAAAATACTACATCACCCATGACCATATAACAGAAATAGTAGTTCCAGGGTCTCATTTAATGATCAAATCTGAAAGAATTTTACATTTATAACTAATAACTTATAAAAATAATTTAATGTTGTGCTACTACGTATCAATGAAAATGGCCAAACGGTGGAGTTATAGCTGAAAGATCAAAACAAGGTGAGGTTTGTTTGTTTGTTTGTTTTTTGCAGACAAAAAAAAACCTAAAAGACTGCAAAAAATGCATTTGTTGCACATTCAGAATGTGTAGAATATTTTAAATGATGCTTTCTGGGATTTCTACTTATATTATTGAAATCTGTATTTCCTTTTTTTCCCCCTTCTTATAAAAGCACATGGAAGATAAGAGTTAAGGATACAATCTCTCTTGTGTAACTGGAAGACAAACTATTTCCCATCCATTTTTACATATTAAAAGAAGAAAAAAATCAGCATTGAATCCAGAGGAAAGCTTTTTCCAAATGGGAGCAATTCAAATGTTAAGTGGGGACAAAAGATGAATGAACTGTTGGGGTAAATCATGCATCTGTCTTTTTGCTTTGCAGTAGAGGTATTTGGATTTATGTGTATTAGAAAGCGTCCTTGCAAAATGGAGACTGAAGGTAAAGTTGATTCTAGTTCAAAACAATCTGAAATGCATTTTCTGGGAATTCTTTGTCATTGTCACAGGACTACCAGTATGTTCTTACTCCTTAGTAGAACTCCAAGTGTTACAGGATTTCATAATTGTGTTCCACATTTATTTTCCATGTTACATACAATGGAATCATGTCATAATCCAATGATTAAATGTTTTAAGTGTCATCAAAATCCAGCATTTTCATAGTCATTATCCTGTTTACATGAATCTTTCCTAAATAAGGGGGTTAGATCTTAGTCTCTGCATGACTTGTGAAACTGCTGTGGCTATTGAGTTTATTCCTGAGAGATTACAGGCCCCAAATGTTTTGAATCCAAAACTGCAACTTTCTGAGAAGTTTGCTGATGACAACTCAGATGTTCTTCTTGTCAAAAAGGCATGTTCTGGAAAGACAGTTTTGACAGACCACTGTCAATGATGAAGCTTTGTATTCTGTGCTCCCAAATCATCTCATTCTGGTGAGCATTGCATTCAGACATCCAGTACAGGCATGTGAATGTCTCTCTAAGTGCTCTGGTGGTAGTAGAGGAATCTAAAATTAATCAGTTGAATGTTTTCCCTTCAATTAGCTCAGATGATGTGCACAATGGCACCACTGAAACCAAGGGTTATTTAAGGGAGATTGTTTAATATGGTTAAGTGAGCATAGCATTTATCTGAAAGAGCAGAAACTATACTGTTGCAAATTGATGTAGATTAAGGCTTTCCATAATTTGACAGAAAAATAAATAAATAAATAAAAGTTGCTACTTGTGCAGAAATGTCTTTATGCCGTGCACTTTTGGGGCCTGGACTCTACCAGGGTGTTCTACAGAACTGTCATGTATTTTGTTTGTAGAAACGCTGTATGCATCAATGAGAATTTTTTTTTTTTAGTTGGGCATTGAATACACAATATTTAAGAGGCAAATAGACACACAAAAAAAGAACCTGCAATTTTTATATTTGTTTGTGTTTTGAAACTCCATATTACAAAGATCTGAACTTGTGAAGCATAATATTTTTAGTTTCAAGAAAATAAAGGTGACCTTGGGAGAATATAAAATGCTGTGGCCTTGACTACAGGTCAGTACTGGCTTGTAAGTGTGTGATTCTGAGGGTCTTTGCACTGACCTCCGATTATTCAGAGGTGGCTGCATCAGGCTTGCCCTCTCATAGCAAGTAAAAGAGAAATTCAGCCTTGAACCAATGTGAAAATTTTAAAGTCTGTGTCATAAAACAGGAAAATGTAATTTTAGTGACTATGTTTTTTATTTAAATACAAGAAGACTCCAAATTAAAGCATAGTTAACTTCATATGCATATGTCAAAACCAACCTCTATGTTGCAAGCTATCATTTAACATATCAAATATAATGAATACAAGTATTTTGTAAGTCAGCATGGCCCACTGATTACAAAGAAAAAAATAAAATTATAATAAACTGTCAGCTCTTACTGAAAATCTGTATGCAAATAAAAGCAAATATTGGAAAAAAAAAAAAAAAACAACAACAAACCTTATTTCCCACAAAGTAAAATATAGTTTTTCTTTATGACATCATAAATAAGTTAAATTAAAAAGTATATGTCTTTATACTTAGTACTGTGCCTATTGAAATGATGTTATATAACATACCGTAAATATACATTCCTCAGTACACAAAATGTATTTGATTTAATTTGCTTTGCTTTATGATGGAAATTTTAGATAAGCTGGCCTCCACGGAATTAACCATATGTTAGGTTATAGTGTTATCATAATTTTGTTATGAACGTGTTGCAGATCTGTAGACAAGTTATTCTAGATTTCATAGGTGAATGAATATATTTCATTTCCTATATCTGTTTAAAAACACAGTTCCAGAAGGCACTTTTGAAATAAAGATCAGGATATTATAAAATATTGGTCATTTTATTTTCTTAATAAAGTGCAGCAAGAAGTTTGTAAATTGTAAGCCAGTTATTTTTTAAAAGAAATAATTTGACATTTTGGCTGTTTAAACTAGAATTCATAAAAATGTAATATAATAATATACAGTATCAATATACTTTGAGATGAGATTCCTGAAACATATTGTTTTCCAGCTTAGTTCTTGATCCCACAGAAACTTTGCTTTATATTTATTTTATATGCTCTGACTTTATCAGAATATCTCACAGTGCACAGACCATGAGTAAGTCATTGTGGTTACTACTGCTTTTTCCTTTAAATATGATTTCTTTTATGCATTGCCTTAAGATGTTTCTTACATCAAGAGAAATATTAAAAAGGCTAAAAATCTCATGAATGTATAGTTGCTGCCCTTAATTCAACAGCTTTGCTACATATTGTTGTCTAAGTACCCACAGTATTCTCAATGCCAAAAAGAAAGTACAATTTTCATCCTGATATAGCAATGCCAAGTCAAATGTAAATGTATTAATATTAAACACTCACCTATGTACTGCACTTTTAGTTCCCTTATAGAATCTAGTCCCTGAGAAAGTGTTTTGTCTCAAAAAAAAAAAAAAAAAAAAAAAAAAAAAGCTGATTTTAATATGTTCATCTTTGGGGCAACTTAAAATGTTCAAATTTGGGCACTCACCCAAGTTACTTAAATTTAAATACCTATCATAGACACCTAGGATAGGACTTGAAGCCCTCAAAATGGCAGGGCACGGCCGTTTTGAGGTAGGACCATGACTTAGCAGCTCTTAAGGTGTGTGTCTCCCTGGTGTGATGAAAGAGGTGCGGCCACTTTTGTGTGTTCACTTGTTTTAGGAATGTGCTTTTGAAGCCAGGTTCCTGCCCTCTGCCTGTTACTATGTTGTTCTTCATTTGCCAGAACAGTCTTTAAGCACATGAACTGGAGTTTTCGGCTACAACTAAATCAGCGTAACACCAATAGTTCCAACTCCTAAGGGGCTTTCAGCTCGTACAACCTAACTAAAGCAAGACCAAAGCCAGAATTCCTTTAAATTGCTACAGCTGCTGGATTAAGGTGAGTGTCCTTTCTGCACAGTGGGTGATACCCATGTACGGTGGAAGGACCTCCTTCATTTACAGAAGGTGACTGGCAAATGTTCAGGCTAGGTTCATCTGCATTGCCCTCTTCCGTCACTCCAAAGGGAAATAATTAAGGGTACATTATGCTGCTCAGCCCTCTCCCTGCTGCGTCTCTCTTCCTGTCTATCAAAAATGCATACTTTAAAATTCACTCAGAGTGCTCCAAGAACACTGCCCCATTCTCTTTGCTCTATGCAGATAGTGGAGCTGCACTCACTCAGCTATGTAAGGGAGCCTCTAAATCTGTAACATAGTCAGGGGACAATATTCAGGCGTTATGGCAAAGGCATCTGTGTACCAGAAGAGTGTTGTGGTCTGTGATCAACATTCAGAGTAAATTGAGTAAAGTCATCTTCAAGCTTAAGTGCTTTCTTGGCTAGGAGGGCTCTTAAGTGCAATTTTAGTATTCCTGGAATAAGGTCCATAAGGTCAATAAATTTTTATTTTTTTGGCTCCATTTTCCCATTTTCAGGAAGTTTAGTGAGAATAGCAATTCATATTCTGTCAGAATAAGATGGAAAATCAGGGATACTGAAATAAAAAAGAAATTTCTATTCAGATTCTGTAAATTGTTACAGTACATTACATACTCTGTTAAAATATATTGAACAATGTAAAACTAAATGCATTCATTTAGCTAACCTAGTCAGTTTTCATTGCAACTGTATGCACACCTCCCACTTTCAACAACTCACTACGAGAATCTCAATCATATGTTACAGAAATGGCTTTATTATTGAGTATATACTAATATATAATGCATAGTGTGTGTGTATTTGTGTGTGTATATTAGTATATACTAATGGAAAATATTCAGTATATATTAAAGAAAGTTCCATATTAGGCACAATTATAAAACAGAAGCATAAATCCATGAAGCTTTACATTTAAAATCTTAATCTTATATTACTATAAAGAAAAATATGTATATTAGTTGAAGAAATGGCTATTTTTGCAGAACATGCACAATCTGGATATATGGTAATAGATTAATGAACATTAACTGATTTACTATTTCATACCTCCAGGAATTTTGATTTTTTTTTAATTATTCTTATCCTTAAGAATATTTGCAATATATGTCATAAGTTTTAATTTGTTATGGATAAAAATGACTGAAAAATGTAATAGAAAGTGCTATATATTTTATAAATATTAAAAATTGAAGATAAGTATTCAATTTATTTATTTCATTTTCAGTTACTTTTTTTTTGTGCTTGTTTGTAATATGTATTTGTGACAAACATAAGTCGCCTAGTTGTTAAAGCTCATTAATGTACCACTAATAAAATGCTATCTTGTGTTTTGTTTTTGTTATGTTTTATTTTGTTTCTTTTTGTAATGGAACGTAACAGAAAAAATATAGAAAATAAATACTTTTTTAACTAATCTTTTGCATTCAGTCATACAGTGTATGAGTTTTATATCATTGAAAGTCAAATCTGTGAGATCAAAAAAATACTTGAAGAACCTGGGCTGTTATTGTCATCTCCCACCACCATGTTCAACTGCTTAGTCATTTCTCACAACCCTCTTACAGATGTCCAACATGTTCCTTTGCAGCACTTTTACCCCAGTGCCAACTGCACCCAGTTTTATAGTCCACTGTGACATTATATAGTATGGGATATATCTATTTGTCCAGTTTGGGTCAGCTGTCCTGGTTCTGTCCCTCCACAGCTCCTTTTACACCCTGAACTCCTCACTAGGAGAGCCACAAAGTCTTTGATTTTGTGTAAGCATTGCTCCACCACAATGAAAACATCAAGGTGTTATCAACATTATTTTTCTCTTAAATTCAAAGCACAGCATCATGCCAGCCACTGTGAAGAAAATTAATTTTATTCCAGCCAAAACCAGAACATTTGTGTACAGATATATCCCAACAATCAATCAAGATAAAACTGCAAGACAGATAAATGCAGAGAGTGCCTTACTGCCCAAGGGGCTCAGGAAAACAGTTTTGAGAATGAAAACTGAGTGCCTCTGATGTAGGAAAGAGCTGAGGGCACAGAGGCTATGGAAGAATAGGTGCACTTTGGTATTCTTGGGTAACATGCTGTAAATCAAAAGATAAATTTATCTCTAGAAGAAGAATGAGGAAAAAAATATGATTTTGGAGACAGTTTATGAAATTCAAAGCATTTATTCTTGTGTCATTGCTACAGTGAACAGGACACATTACATGGGTCATGTGATTATGGTAATAGTTATATATGACTTGTCTGGAGATTAGTTAAAAATCAAGAGGATATAAAGTTAAATCTATTCATTTTCCTAAAAGACACACTATAGGAGACATAGAAACAACAGCATCTGGCTAATGTGTCTTAAGAGCCCTGCCACCCCATACCCCTGGATTTTGCCCTGTAAAATAGTAGTGGTTGAAGACAGTAGTGATAACAGTCACTTTCTTATTTTTCTGGGATTCTGAAAGTGAATCTGGAACCTCCTTCAGACTTTTTTGCTGAAGAACTGAAGGCTAGGAAGACTTTTATCCAGATACTGAGCCATCAAGTGGGCATATGTCCAGAAACAGGTGTTTCAGCAAACACAAAGAAGCTCAACAAAATACCAAAAGCCTGAGTGAAAAGAGAAGAAACTTCCTACGTTGCTAGATCTAAACTCTCACCTTTCTTTTATAAACAGATATATGATAGAATCTTTTAAGCTAGAAGTCTTTTTTTCCCTTTTCCAGAGTCTAGTGAGGGAAGAGAGAGCATCTCAGATATGTCAAGTCTCTCAGCTTAAGAGAGGAATAGAAATCAAGATGTAGTTTGTTGTAGCTAATGCAGTGCTACCAACTACAGCAAAGGCTCCGGAGCTGAAGGCAGTGCTTTGGTCAATTTACATTCTGTTCACACTCAAAGCCAAATATTTGCAAATACCATGAACCTAAGGCTTTCCATCAGTTTCTGTGGGGAAAAAAAAGAGCTTGTACTATGATAAAAATGGAAATTCAAAGGCAAGGGGAACTCAGATCTGTGTGATCTGTGCTTCCAGTTGCACAGAAATATGCACGGAGCAGTTTCCCTATAGAAAGGTACAGGCCCAGTCGGTTGAGTGGTATATAAGAGATCTGAGCTGTCGGGGTGGCCTAGGGGAACCTTGTGTCCAACTGTGAAGGACTGAGGGGATTGTAAGATGGTGGGAAATTCTTCAGAGGAATGTAAATTTAGGAAGAGCAGCCTAAGTCACTGAATCTTATCCAGCTTTCTCAGGCAGTCGTGTCATATAAACCCTCTCACAAATGTTTAAATTTTATCTTAAAAGTAATTAGGCTTTTTGGCCCTCCTCCTCTTGTTGGAAAACCTTCCAGAATTTCACTGCTCTGATGGCTTGAAACTGTCTTCAAATTTCCAGTCTAAACCTATTTGTAGCTAGTTTATATCTATTTGATTTTATGCCAACATTATCCCCTAATTTAAGTAATTTTTGCAGTCCTGGTATCAGTTTCCACTTTCCCTTCCCTTCCTTGATATATTTATAGCAAGTAATTATATACCCTAACAGTTTCATTTTGCCTGAATGCACAGCACAAGCTCATGCAGAGGATGTCTGTGCAGTGCAGTGAAATTCGGTGCAAATTCCTGAGCTATTGCTGGCCCCAGCTGATATGTCTACCTGTTGTGTTGCAGCTATACAAGCTCAGGGCCAGAAGCAGCTCATCCACTTCAGTGCAGCTAAAGATAATAAGTACCACTCATCTGCACCATGACATACTGCTTCCAGAGCAGATAAAGTCCACATAAAGCCTTTCTGCACCACTCTGCAGTGCTCAGTGCAGGCATTCACTGATTGGATTCCCTGGCTTTTTTCCATTCCATTCTCTAATGGATGCAGACTTACTCTGAATCTGCCCTAATGTGACTTTTTCTTCTAACCATAACTACCTCTGCATCATGTACCATGCTCCAGATATGATTTCCCTTATGTCCTGCCCAATGGCCTTACTACTTGTCGATCAGCTGCACAGACTGTGAGTAGTTGCATGAGTTACTCCCATGGCTTCATCACACTGGTGACTCACAGAAAGCCTGTGAAAAGCCAGTATATCATGGAGCTACTTGTTCTTCTAGTTGTGTGATCAGCTCTCAGCTCATCAGTAACAGGGATGGGTTATACGAACAGGCCAGTTTATCACTAAGAAGATAAACTAGGAGCCTGTCTTTTTTTTTTTTTCCTCCTCACTTCACAGGGGAAGGGTATGAGAGTCAGTGAGAAATGAGTCATCATTTTAAGAGTTCATTTTCAATGAGAGAACTCCAACGGGTGTCAGGGAAATGATGCAGATTTGGATGCAAATCTTTTTTTTTCTGGGAAGCAGGTTAGAGGATTTATATTCTAGCCCTTCCTTTTCCACATCTTTTGGCTTCTAGCCATGACTGAACAGGCGAAAATAAAAAGCCCTGTAAAGGGCAAAGGAGAAAGAGTGAAAAGCTCATAGGAAACCTTTTCTTTATGGATTTCCAGAGGTAAAATATTTCCAGCATTTATCAAGTCTTGTTCCATCTTTGC